AGTAACGACGATTTTTGAAGTAAGTTTTAGTATCGTTTTTTTATTTCTCTCATTTATTCATTCAATCGTTCTTTTTATCACTCAATATTTCAAATTATTCTTCCATTAATTGATTCGTTAATTTATTCTATCCATTTATTCGTTCGTTTCTTTGTTCCTTGATTTACTACTACGCTAATAAAAAAACTTGTCTACAGAATGGTGAGAGGTGGGCTGTGGTCGGCATCAGACCGTTTCAGATAGTGGTCTCATGATGATCGTTCCGATGACAATTCGAGGAAAACAACAACGACGATTTTTGAAGTATGGCTTAGTTTCGTTTTTTTATTTTTCTCATTCATTCATTTTATCACTATTTTTCTAATTATTCCTCCATTAACTGATTCATTCATTCATTCTATTCATTCATTAAACCATTGATTGGTTAATTAATCGGTTAATTCATTCATTCAACCAATCATTCAGTTAATCATTTATTCGTTCGTTCCTTTGTTCCTTGATTTACTACTACGCTAATAAAAAACTTCTACAGAATGATGAGAGGTGGGCTGTGGTTGGCGTCAGCACGTTTCAGGTGGTGGTCTCATGATGGTCGTTCCGATGACAATTTGAAGATAACATTAATGGGAAATTTGTTTTTGTCCCATCGTACCTTTGAAAGTACTCAAATTCGAACAAGGGTTACTTTATTATTTATTATTTTTATTACTTTTTTCCAATGGCTTGTTACAATAGCACCAATACAACACACACGTACACAACATCCATTCATTCGTTGTTATGTTTCTCTTCAACTTTCTATTTTCTTTACCGGACTTAATTTAAGTCATAGGTAAGTTAGGGATTGAGATGAGTTGAGCGATCGTAGGTAGGCTAGGGCTTAACATTAGTTAAAAAGTTTCAAGTAAAATAAAAACGTTAAAATATGTACAAAATAATACCTAAAACATGTAAAATTTCAAAAACATAATAATACAAATTTGTATGTAGGTGGGTGAATTGAGCTAATCATTATAGATAAGCTAGGGCCCTGAGAGTAATTTAATCGTAGGTAGGTGACTGACTACTATTCTTGCGACTTCTTACAAGTTTTTTGTGATGTGTTTGTATTTGCTTCACACCACCACACCACACACACAAACAAAACAAACTAAATTTTATTCTCGTCGTCGCCATGAATTTTATCTTTTTGGACAATTTTTCCAATGATGTCTATTTATTTATTTGTAAAATGTTGACTGGTTTTTGGTTTTTTTTATTTTGGTTATATAATTTTTGGTATTTCCTGATATATTTTTTATATAATTCTGTTTGGCATTATGATTTAGTCATTATGATATGCTGTGAACTGTTTTTTATTAAATGTTCATGTTGCGTGATTGTTCTCCGAGAACTACCGAGGAGTGTTATATTTGGTTGTTTAAAATCCGAATTTTTTTTAAATTGACGTTTTTTAAATTTAAATTTTTTGTCATTTTTCATTTTTGATTGGTATCAAATAAAAGCAACTGTTGTGTTTTTCTTTCTTTACTAAAATCTCAAAATTGTCAAAATTGACTGACTGACTGATTTGATTGATTGATTGACTGACTGACTGACTGACTGACTGACTGACTGACTGACTGACTGACTGACTGACTGACTGACTGACTGACTGACTGACTGACTGACTGACTGACTGACTGACAGACTGACTGACTGACTGACTGACTGACTGACTGACTGACTGACTGACTGACTGACTGACTGACTGACTGACTGACTGACTGACTGACTGACTGACTGACTGACTGACTGACTGACTGACTGACTGACTGACTGACTGACTGACTGACTGATTGATTGTTACTGACGTGTTGTTTTGAGGAATTTATTATGATCTGTCAATCAATTATTTAGTTTCTAAAGCGATATTTCCGCGATGTTCAACAGTGCTAATCAATGAATTTTGCAAATAGATGAGTCTTGAAATCTGCTCTGAACTAAGAGTTCCAGAAAAAAGGACCAAAAAAAGCAAATACAGTTTTAGCAAAAGAGTGTTTAACACGAGTTAAAAAGAAGTGGGAACAAGAAGACAATCGTAAACCGGGACGCTTAGGTTCAATTAATATATCTGATAAGTACTTAGGAAATAATTTAGAATGAGACTTAAAAATTAAAAACTAAACTTGTAACTGAGCGTTTATTTTATGATATTTATTAATTTTTATAATAAATTTGTAAGTCGATAAGGTTTGAGCGTCAGATATGTCACAAAAACTAAACTTGTGACTGAGCATGTTTTTTAGGAAATTTATTAATTTTTTATAATAAAGTCGATAAGGTTTGACGACACAAAAACTAAACTTGTGATTGAGAGTGTTTTTGAGAATATGACGAACTAAACTTGTGACTGAGCGTGTTTTATTAGGGAATTTTATATAAGCTGTCGGTAGGTCGATAAAGTTTGAGCATCAGATATGACACATAAACTAAACTTGTGACTGAGCTTGTTTTTTAGAAAATTTATTAATTTTTTATAATAAATTTGTAAGTCGATAAAGTTTTAGCGTCAGATATGAAAAAAACTAAACTTGTGACTGAGCTTGTTTTTTAAGGAGTTTTATATAAGCTGTCGGTAAGTCGATAAGGTTTGAGCAACTGGTATGACAAAAACTAAATTTGCGTTTTTTTGAGAATATTTAATAATTTGAAAGTCGATAAGTTTTGAGCGTCTGATAAGACAAACTATAACAGATAAACTTTCGGTAAGTCGATAAGGTTTGAGCGTATGATCTGTTTTGATAAATTTAGGGAAGGTAATGTAAGTTTTTGTTCGTGCGATCTAGAGATTGAAGACAGGAGCTTGTCCACGTTCTCGTTTCTAGAGGCCCTCATGTTGTGTTCAATGAGATGTTCACAAACAGCCAGCTGTGTGGCTTACAACTTCTTCAGTACCACCAATCAGTGCCAACTCTTCAATCAAACATTGAACAAGTTCTCTTTACTGTCCGGCTGTCAATATTATCTTAAGAAAGTTTAAAGTAAAAATATAAGTAAATATGATAGTTGACATACATACTAACAATAGTTTAGATGTATGTGTAGTGGATGTAACTCTGACCAGTGATGTGTACATACTAACAATAGTTTAGATGTATGTGTAGTGGATGTAACTCTGACCAGTGATGTGGAAGATGAACTGTGTGAATGGGCATGAAGATTTCGATGGTTCCATCAAATTTTCCTCAAGCATTAGTGATGAGGATGATTATTAATTTTTCTTTCTCTAGTCAACTATATGCTGATGATTCTTACATTTATACTTCTTTTCCTCCATCTAATCTCAATAGTGTTCTTCATAATTTATCTCTATGTCTTTCTTCAATTATCGCTTAGTCTGACTCTATGTGTCTTAAACTTAATTCTTTTAAGTTTGAATTAATTTGTTTAAATAAATCTAAACACTCTATTACTATTCCTCCTATTATCTTGCCTGATTCTAAAACTCTTGATGTCTCTCATAAGTTTCTTAGTCTAGGTTTTATCTTTGATTCTACTATGTCTCTCTCTTCTCAGATTAATACTCTTACTTTCATTTGCGTAGAATAAACAAACTTTTGCCTTTTCTTGATAATCCTACTCTTCTCCTTCTTGTTAATTCGTTATTCTTATCTAGGATTGATTATTGTAACTTGCTCTACTATGGTCTTCCTGACTCTATCCTTTAAGTAAAGCTTTTAACTCTGCTGCTCGTCTAGTTGCCCCTTTCTTTTCTCATATATCTCAATATCTTGTTCTCTTGCACTAGCTATCTATAAAATATAGATTTTTAAAATTTGCACGTTCATGTATAAGTCTCAATCTAAATTATTTCTTAAGTGTTTATCAGATATATTAATTGAACCTAAACGCTCCGGTTTACGATCGTCTTCTTCTTCTCGCTTTTTCTTAACTCGTTTTAAACACTCTTTTGCCAAATCTGCTTTTGCTTTTTCTGGTCCTTTTTTCTGGAACTCTTTACATACTTCTCTGACTACTTCTCCATCACTTGCGAAGTTCAGAGCGGATCTCAAGACCCATCTGTTTTCAAAATTCATTGAGGAGCGCTGTTGAACATCGCGGAAATAGCACTTTATAAGCTAATTGATTGATTGATTGATTGATAACAAAACAACATAACAACAAAACATAACTAAAATAACAAAATAACAAAACTATAACAAAAATGACAATGATGATATTTATAACGCTAAACAAAACGTAGATAAATAGATAGATAGATCTTGCACGCAAACCTGGCAAATGAAGCGACAAATGATGACCTTCGTCGTGAAAGAAATAAAAAAATTACTATATTATTCTTCGTGCGTTCTATTGTAAGATTTCCCTTCAATATTCCAAATAATTTTTTGTCTTTACGTTGAAAAGAAGCAACTAAAAAACTTTCAAACAAAAAACAATTTGTTTTTCTTTTTTAAAAATACATCCGGCCTTTGAAAGAAAGACTCACGACTACTTTATTATGCACGCGTGCATACGTTAACAGCACACAGTGGTGGATCTAGACAATGTTAAGGGGGGTCCAATGTTTGGAAAATTTTTACCAAATGTTTGCTAGTGTGGCCAAAATTAGGCTGGAAAACTTGCAAACATTTTTATTTTTGTTTATCAGACCAATATTTTTGATCAATTTGGTGTTTAGTATTTTTCTGTTTAAAAACTGCCTTTTACAGATTTATAATAAAAACAGCCCGGCACCCCCTTTAGATTCGCCACTGACATCTCTGCAAACCAAGATTCAAAATAGCGATCGTTTCTATATGTAGAAATGTTGCGTGTGTATGCATGCACGCATGCCCATTGTGAGCAATTTATATTTCTAGAATAAGTTAGTTTACCTTTTTTTTATTAAACTTGTATGAAAACAAGCTATTCAAACTTTAATTCATTAATCGTCAGTTATGTATTGTGCAGAAATCTTTCTGATAACTTTTCAAGTATGTATGATCGTTGCCAAGATGAATTGTTTCAGCAGTTTCAAAGAAGATAATATGAGTTTTTGTTCCTGCGATCCAGCGATTGAGGACAGGAGCTGGTCCACGTTCTCGTTTCTAGAGGCCCTCATGTTGTGTTCAATGAGATGTTCACAAACAGCCAGCTGTGTGGCTTACAACTTCTTCAGTGCCACCAATCAGTGCCAACTCTTCAATCAAACATTGAACAAGTTCTCTGTACTGCCCGGCTGTCAATATTTTCTCAAAAAAGGTTAAAATGCCTGTTATAAAACAATCGAATTAATTTGTTTTATAATTTTATTTATCAAAAATTGGACATTTACGTTTTAAATACTTAGTTGATCAGAGTCTGATTCATTTTAACGCCAACACTTGGTTAAGATGCATTGAAATCTTTCAAAGCTCTGACCATCAACGCGGACGACGGCTTTAATGAATTTTACATCAACGGTGACAACATACCCGCATCGTATTTTCCCAATGCTGCGAAGGTTATTAGACCGGACACATATTATCTGATGGACAACTTGGTCGTTCTCGCCATCAAATCACACAACGGCGCTGCTTACGGTTTGCACAATTTTTTTGTTACAAATTTAACCCATAAATATTTTATTAGATAAATAGTTTTTTAGACAAAACCTGATAAAAAAAGAGGGTTATTTGCAACTAATAACATTAACAGGTGGTTTGGCAGCTAGCACAACAGACGGTTACGTGTTGACGAATGAAACTTGGAAATGTACTGAAAGTTATTACAACGGCTGGTACAAAATCAATTACAATGATTCGTCATGGTCTCCTGCCATAGTTACGAAAATTTCAGCTGGCTCTCTTTTCAATGTGAACACCAAATGGATTTCTGTTTCTACCAAATGCAAAAATTGTGATTTTTACTGCAGAAAAAATGTTCTTGGTAATTTTAAGTTTTTAGAAATTTAATTTTGAAAAAATAAAAGTTAACTGAACGTGTATTTCAAAATATTGTATATTTCAGATATTGTTGAGAGGAAGAGTTGTCAAATCAATTAACCATCATGCGGTCCATTAGGGCAATCATCTTGGAGGAAATAACAATTAACTGAATTTTAACGAATATATATATATATATATATATATAAACAAATATATTGCTAAAATAAAGACAAAAAAAAATTAATAACATAATATTTTGATTAGGTTGGAAGTGTTATTTATTGATGGATAATCCTATATTTAGATAGATAGATGATAATATGTTTCGAGCTAAAAATACACGCCATGTTGCAAACATGGGTGGGTGCGTTGGATGGATCGATGGATACAAATTTAGGCAGTGGCGGATCTAGACAACTTTGATGGTGGGGGTAAATTTGAAAAATGTTTAAATTTGAACATTTTTTTTATTTGTACGGAAGTTGAGCAAGATAGTTACGGTAGTGTGGGCAAAATAAGGCTCGCGAACTTTTCTCTGTGCAAAAACTGAGTCTTACTAATTTTTGATACAAATACTGCTCAAAACGGGATAGCCCATCCTGCTCTTCAAGCTCTGCCACTGGAGATAGATATACATATAGATATATGGATCTATATATACACAGACTTGTAGATATACATGTAGATATATAGATGGATGTAGATCCATCCATAGATGTAGATCCTACATCCATAGATATCCGTAGGTATATATATAGATCTACATGAATACATGTAGATATATAGATCTATATATACACAGATTTATAGATATATTTGTATGTGTCATATTAACGCAGAACATACAGTCGAAACGTTCGTGCTTCTGATGACCTGAAGTTTATTGTCATCCATTGTTGTTGGAGGTTTAATATTCCCGTCTGGCACTTTCGCTGAGGAATAATAAAATGGAAACGCCCTTCAAAAAAGTATCGATTTGTTTTTTTTTATATCGACTGACACGCACGTTGAAGGTAGCTTTCTATCAGAAATGTTTCGGTGACATTTTTTTAGGTTTCACAAAGACAGGACGGAAATTGTTTTGTTCTTGAGACTGCACACACTACTACGTTGTTTCAATAGGTGGGCTTATAAAAGCAGTGAGAGATGATTAAAAATAATTGCTTCGTTCATTTTAGTTGAGATTCGATGTTGCCAGACAGATATATTTATGAATTTGTTTTGCTTAAATAAATTCATCATTTGAGATCATTATAAAACCTTCCAATTGTTATGTTTGCTGTGGCGTTTATTTCGTTGAATTTATGGTTACTAAGTATTGGCGCGAAGAAATGTTTCCAAAGATTCGAAGAAGATAATGCAAGTTTTTGTTCCTGCGATCCAGCGATTGAGGACAGGAGCTTGTCCACGTTCTCGTTTCTAGAGGCCCTCATGTTGTGTTCAATGAGATGTTCACAAACAGCCAGCTGTGTTGCTTACAACTTCTTCAATGCCACCAATCAGTGCCAACTCTTCAATCAAACATTGAATAAGTTCTCTGTACTGCCCGGCTGCCAATATTTTTTTAAAAAAGGTAATAAAATTTTTCAACGTTAAAATTTTTGCTCAATTTCTTAAACTACAATCACAAGAGGAACAAATTAAACCAATGATGATCAATACCGATGACGAACTGAAGGAATTTTACTTCAACGGAGAGAACGTACCCGTTGCAATGAACTTTCCACACGCAAATGATTGGGACATTCCTGATTGGCTCGACCTGAGTGGCAGTATGTTCGTCCTCGCTGTGAAGGCCTACAACCGCGTTTTGAACGGTTGGCATGGCTATGTTCCATGTTTATAAACAACCTATGTATAAAAAACAAATAAAAAATTTTTTATTTGACTTAGAAAGTTTTTAATAGAAAATTTAATAATTTTTAAAAAGGAGGTTTCTATGTCGAAACATTAAACAGCTACATCATGACTAACGAAACTTGGAAATGTACCGAAAACTATTACGACGGCTGGTACAAGATCAATTATGACGATTCATTCTGGCCTGACGCATTAGCTGGCGAAAAAAATTTTGATCCCAACGTACCATCTATGTTTAGAAAATCAAGATGGATTACAGCAGTGTCTGACTGCGAAAACTGTGACTTCTATTGCAGAAAAAATTTCATAAGTACTAAACGCCGTTTCATTTTTTAAAAATAATATTTAGGAAATTGAATTTATTTGGTATTTAAGAAAATAATGCTACTTAATTAAACTTATTACCACTTTTTAAAAATTTAGAGCTTGTCAAAAAGAGCAGTTGTCAAGTCATTCACGATGGAGAATAAAATTACTGTTGTGAACATCTTGTTTGCAGTAGAAATCGGAATGTTATACTCGTTTCCCTGATTTTTTCATTATTAACAAATAAAATATCATTTTTAGTTTTTTTAATATTTAAACTTGTAACTTCATCTTTTTTCAGATGTTGTAGCCATATTTAAACAAACTGTATATGAACAAGCAAGTGTTTTAATTTTGTTTCGAGTGTTTTACGTGGTTGTGAAAAAATTTTTTTAACAGGATATGCTAATTTATAATATCAATTTTTAGCACATCTGACGTTTCATAAACAAACTCGCATTCAACATCATTTCATCTCATGTTAAAGTATCTCGAATAATACGAATGGAGTTCACCGTATATTCGAGTAGCATATCAATATGCATATCTGTCCGACCGTGTGGAACAGCTTGCCACAGTCATTGCGATCATCCGTACTGTCTGTCTCTTAGAACATTTAAAAAAGAACTAAAAACATATTTTTTCACTGTTAAACTTTGATAATTTTAGTTAAGTTTTTTTTTTTTTTTTATTATCAGACTGGATCAAATTTGTGAAAGGAACATGAAAATTCCACCCAAATAAACTGTCATGTGATTTGATTGAGGTGCTTCAAAACCATAGGCCCAGACACTACACAAACTTGTGTAAAGTTAGAAAAGTTGTTAAAAATTATGGAAAGATGAAAGCTTACCAAGGTCTGCCATGAAACATCAATTATTAGCGATGAATCTCCAACCAACTGTCATTTGTTTGCATCGAAGTACGCTTTTAAGCCAGTGTTGACGTCGATTAAAATTGAGAGTAACAAAAATAAAACAAATTTTATTATTAAAGCCAAAAAAGTTTATAAGAATTGAAATATAGCTCTACCGAAAACGATATTGTAACGTTTTGTACCGTTCAAATTGACTTGTATCGTATCGTAATATCCATACATGTTATGGTAATAAATCGTATCCAATCGCAATGTAGTGTGCAGTAAGGTGAAGTATATTACGAATTATGAAGTATCATAAATACAACATTACAACATCGTTTGAGTTAGTTTGTCAAAAATTTATATTCTGTAATAATACTCGATAAGTGTAATTAATGCCGTTATAATAATATACAGTAAAAGAAAAATAGATATAAATTTTAACTTTTTAGCAAATAATATACGAATAACAACATGGTAATGTTTGATAGATAGGGTATATACATAAAGATATAATATGTAAACATACATGAGTATGTATGTAGGTGTTATAAATATAGTTGGTTACAAGGTATAAATAACAACGTATGCGATGGTTATATTACTATTATTAGTGAATTAAAAAGTGAATTATTCTCTAGTGATTGAGTAATAGATTAATTATTTGATTGAGAATTATTTAATTAAATTGAAAATAGATAATAGAAAATTAATTGAAACAGAAAAGAAACAACTGTCTTCAGGTTCATTGGGAAAAACCAAAAAAAAAAACGGAAAAATAAAAAAAACAATAACCATAAAAAAATCAATTTCTCGTCCTTCCACTAGGCACTTGATGTATCAACTGACCATTTGCCGTAAAAAAAAGTGGGCAAAAGAAAAAAAAAAAAAAGTAGTAAAAGACAGAGTAAAGCAGCCATAGAACGAGATATTTATGATCATTTTCACTAAAATGTAATAATAATAACAATAATTGCAATAATTCCCGGTAGAAAAAATTAATATGCTTGTTGCGACGAGTCGTGCTAACTGGCAGAGCAATAGTTTTCAACAATAAAAAAAAACAACTACTACAACTACGGCTTTTACTGCTACTACTACCGCTACTTCTGCTACTGCTGCTGCTACTACTACTACTACCCTAAATCTACTACTACAACAATGAACAATAATAATAATAGCCAAACTATCAGCATCCCCATTATCATTATTATTAATTACATAACTATTTATTTAGAAAACCAACAAGAAAATATATCCGACGAAAACAAATTTTTTTCCAAAAAATGAGTAGAGCGGAGCAAATATACAAACAAATTCAAGAAAGAAAAACATTTTTGTTGATCACAGATAAGAAAATAATAATACGAATATACTAATATAGCACGAATCTAAATATTAACAAGAGCCATTGGCCCATATTTATAATAATAATATAATAATCATAATATGTCTTTGTATACTTGGTAGTTCATCTTGCCTGTGATAATAACTATAATAATTTAATTTATTATTCAAGTAATTACACACACACACACACACACACACACACACACACACACACACACACACATATATATATATATATATATAGTATATAGCCATATAATGTTCATATTTTTGTAGGATAAGTCGTTTAAACCAAATAAGCGATCTCTGGTAAATGGCAGATTAGTTTTTTTTTCTCTACTATCAAACCATCATATTTAAAAATCAATTTGTCTACAACTGTAACTACAACTGTAACTTCTTTCATTCCAAATCATTTTGATATGCTGGATTTGAAGTAATAATCAGGCATTTAAAAAAACGTTCATACGGTTGCATTTGCATATAAACTATTTGTGTGTTTTTGTAAACGAACGAACGAATGAAAGGGTGATGGATGGATAAAAGGATGGATGGAGAAATAAATGATTGAATGAATGTATAAGTGGATAGATGAATAAATAAATGAATTAATGAATTAATTACAGAAAGACTGTATATAATCATAAAAGTTTGGAAAACTGAAGCAACTAAATTAAAACCGGATAAAAACTAATAACAATAACACTAATCTGAAAAAATTGAAAGACACAAGGAATGAACGAAAGAAGAAAGAAGGAACGAATGAATGAGTGAGTGGGAGTATAAAAATGAAGGAATGAACCAGTCGAATAAAAAAAAACTACGAATGAATCCCAATTCGAGACACGGTTACTCAAACTAAAAACTAATGATAAACTACTTTATAAGACCTTACCAACATCAACAGCACTAATAACCAACAAATATAATAATAACAATAATAATAATAATAATAATAATAATAACAACATCGTGTGTGTGGCAGCAGTCAATTTTTAAATCCATATATAATTTTTAAATCAATATATATATATATATATATATATATATATATATATATATATATATATATATATATATATACACACATACATATATATATATCATACTTTATAGTCAACATCATTATCATCATCGTGGGTGGCGATATTTAGTACCCTGATGATCATACTTTAATCAACTAACCAAATTTATATTAAATAAATAATAAACTTGTAATTATATATATATATATATATATATATATATATTATAACCATAATTAATAATAACAATAATAATAATAACTACTGTGACAACAAATACTGCTAACGTAGAAGATATTAATAACAAGACAATAAAGAGAAAGAACAATAATAAAGGTGACAATAACAAAAAAATAATAACAATGAAATAATAACAAAGAAATAACAAAATTAGAAATAGAAATAACAATGGAATTAAAACAAACAAAGAACACGTTGCAAAGTTCGAGAGTTTCAACTTTTAAAAAGATGAACGAGTTCGCGCGCGCTTTTTTTACTCACGAAAGTTAAAAAAAAAATTGAAGTATTTCGTTATTGTCTGTTTAATAGTGAAAAAGAAAAATTCGTAACTGTTACATGGCTATTAGTTATATAAAATGAAAGCTTATTAGAGCTAGCAATCATCCTCATCGTCGTCGTCATCATCATCATCCTCATCGTCGTCGTCATCATCATCATCGTCATCGTCCTCATCATCATCATCGTTGTCGTCGTCATCATATTCTTCTTATAGCTTCTTCCTCTTCCTCATCATTATCATCTGTTATCTTTCTCATTCGCCATCTTCATCATCGTCATCATCATCATCTTCATCATCAGAAGTTGAAATCATCGATTGACTGGTTGGACGTAGATGAATCAATGCTAGAGGCTGTATGAATAAATGAATGTATAATCGTATATATTAACATCATTATTAGTAGTAGAGAATACGTAAACAGACATAAACCAACAACCAAACACAAACATACAAACAAACATAGTCAGACAGACAAACAGACAGACAGACACAACAAAAATAAACCTTGCATAGCCGACGGCTTATCGTTACTCTCATCATCTTCGTTTTTATCACCCTCATCAGCATTGTCGTAATCACCAACATCATTGTCGTTATCATCTTCGTCGTGAGTAGAGCTCCCGAACGCCGCAATGAACTTCATGACGTCTGAACACGACAGAATTCCATCCACACGACCAAACACATCTACTACAACTAACCTGTGGACCTGTTCGTGTGTTTGTGTGTTTGTTTGTGTGTTTGTGTGTGCGTGTGTGTGTTTAAGTACGTGTGTGTGCAATAGAAAAACTAGCAGAAAGAGAAAGAAAAAGAGAGAGAGAGAGAGAGAGAGACAGAGAGAGAGAGAGAGACAGAGAAAGAGACAGTTTAATGGATACATACCCATTGCACAATGAAACTCACACGTACATATACATACATAAACACACACACACACACACACACACACACTCACACAAACAAAGACACAAACATACAAACACTAAACAAACAATCATACACGCACAAAGACAACTACACATACATATAAACAAACAAACAAACAAACCTCTCCTTTAACCATCCGCTCAATGATCACATCCATTCTCTCACATTTCATGCATGTCTTTGTCATCTCTAAAGTCTGATGACAATAACAATAATAATAACAATAATAATAATAATTATTATTATATTTTGTCAATAATAATATAAATAATAATAATGAACAATGACGATAATAGTAAAAACAATTACTACTACTACTGCTGATATTGCTGCTACTACAACTACTACTACCGCTATTAACAATGACGACGACAACAACAACAATAACAATAATGATGATGATGATGATGAACGATTCCCACCTTCTCATTGAATATCAGTCCAATTGGTATGTCAAGGTCTGCGTAAGCCTCTTCCGATTCCAAACACTAATATTAATATTATAATGATGGATGACCTATTTATCATAAATTATCATAATTTATTACGGTAAATTTACGCTTACATTACATTGTGGAAAGGTTAAAAGTCATTATTCTTGAGGTTATGAAAAGGTTGAAAGGTTAAAGGCCATTTTTTAGGTTATACATGATGATGGATGGACTGTTATAATGTTATGATGGCTGTGGATTCATTCATTCTTATGTTTATTTATTTATTCATTCAATCATTCATTCTATGATTTATTTTTTTCAATCATTCACTCTCTGACTCATTCATTCAGTCGCTCGTTCAATTACTCATACACTCTTCACGTCATTCATTCATTTACTTATACATTCCTTCATTCAACCTCATTACAGTTTACCTTTACAGACAGACAATCAAACTGACAGTCAACCTGTAAGACAGACAAAAGACAAACAAAAAAACTAGACAGAAAGACAGTCAAACAACCAGTCAAACAAGCGGACATAGAGAAAACTAACTAGACAGACATACACACAAGCAAACCAGCCAGACAACCAGATAAAGAGACAGAGAAACAGACAGACAAACACACAGACAGAAGAACAGGCAGACAGACACACAGACAGACAGACAGACAAACCATCAAGAGAGACTTGTTGAACATGCCGACGAGTTTCATACCCTCATCAACGATAGGGAGGGCAGACACCCTCCTCTCCATCATCATCTCTAACGCCTCTATCAACTTTGACCCCGTTCTTATCTGATGTCACGATGACGATGATGACGACGATGATGATGACGATGACAATCATCATCATCACCATCATCATTATCATCATCATAATCACCATAGCAAGATTCTGGTAGGTTCCAATGTTGGTCTCGGCCAGGGTTTGTTTCATGAAAGAAGGATGAGGCAAGTTGTAATGGCTGAACTAGTGGCGATGATGATGATGATTGCGATTATGATGATAATGATGGGAATTACGATGATAATGATTGTAGTCTGCATGATACTACTACTACTACAACTACTACTACTACTACTACTACTACTACTACTACTACTACTACTATCACTACTGCTACTACAAGAACAACAGCAACTACTACTACTGCTACTACTACTACTTACAAAGAGATACAGATATCTCAAAATTCTCTTGAGTGTTAGCATGTAGAGGATATTCCCAGCCAGGGTATCCACGATGGGAACTCTGTGTATCTTGTTACTCAGCAGCCTCATCACAACGTCGTACATCGAGTCCTTCGGCTCTGAATACGTCATGAACGTTGGCTGCTGTTGCTGCTGCTGTAGCTGCTGCTGTTGCTGCTGCTGCTGTGGATTAGCCAAGATCTCTGTGACGATTTCATAATGTCTTTAATTAACTCTACGTTCACGTGTAAATGGCGTTAGCAATGAACGACAATGGGAAACGTTGTTTTGACACATAAAATTATGCAAATTTACACATTTTCACACACATACTAGATACATACAAACAAACAAACACAATCGCACACACAGTCTCACTCACACACACACACACATGCACACTCAAGTGTAATTAGTAAAGTAGCTGATTGAACTAACCAGCCCAATAGGCCAATGAATGATCTTTACTACTTTCAAGAATGGACTGCAACACCATCGTGCAAAAAAGTTATGAATGAATGAATGAATGAATGAATGAATGAATAAATGAATAAATAAGTAAATGAATGAATCAATCAAGCAATCAATAAATCAATCAATCAATTAAACGCCCAACTGACCAATCAATCACCCACTCAACCAGTCGACCAATCAATCAAACATACTCTTATTATCGAATGCGCAAAAGCTAAACACCAACCATGTTATCCTTATAACACCTCAGCAGAACTTGGATGAAGTGGGTGATGGTCAGCAATCCTTCAATATAAAAATAAATCGAATTAAAAACATTACTTAAGAGCAATATGCTTCCTCAAAAACACACACACCACACATACACTCAAACATTCACACAGAAACACACACACACACACAAACAAACATAAAAACCCACGCATACATAAATATAGCACGAATAAGCCATTGAACTATCATTTATCACACACACGAACATAACAAAATAACATTACATAACCACCTCATAGCAACAACAACAACACACGTTTAGACGACATTTTCCCCGAGATCGGGGG